TCGCTCTATCAATCACTATTCAATTCAAATATGTTGGAGTGACAAGAGGGAAACCAATAGCTTCCAGTATCCTCTAGGCTACATGAGGAAATTACTCCTGATAGTTCAACAGATATCATTTGGCATTAGATTTATTGGTAGTGATGTATTAAAGAAACATTCGGTTTGATTTAACTCAATGTGACTGTGCCAAAAAAAATCAGGTCCCAGCTGCATATGAGCCATATATCCTTCTGGCTCTGTATTGTTCTTTCTTTTTGTTTCTCTCTCTCTCCCTCTCTCTCTCTCTCTCTCACACACACACACACACACACACACACACACACACACACACACACACACACACAGGGGGAATTGGATTGAATTTATGGTCAATTTGCTTATGTAGAAGGGACTGCCATCTGCTTCACGCACCTCCTGCCCCATCACTTAATGTGTGTTTGTCTTTTCTTAGCAACAATTTTCAATAAGCAAAAAAAACCCAGCACCGGTTTTCTGAGGAATAGTTTGCGGTTAATTATAGCAGCAACACTGTTGCAGGAATTAGTCTCTAAAGAAAAGAACAATTGTGATTACTAGTTTGGGAGGGGTGCTGTTCAAGTATTACAGCAGCATGCAGCAAGAAAATAAGGTTCTCTGAGGTTATAGTAATTAAAATACCGTAAAATAGGGTCAGGTCACTATAAACTCACAGAGTAATTAGTATATAGATTAAAATTGGAAAGTATAGTCAATACAAAACATGACAAAGTCAAAAAGTCCACTGTTGAGGATCAGAGTCTAAGTTTAACCCACAAAAAGTATTATCTATAATAATTCATAAGAGAAGTCCTAATTGTTGACATACTGTATAATGTCTATTAATAAAAAGTCAGATGATCATTAAAGTTAACACACTTCTGATAAGAACATGAACGTCTGTACCAAATTTCATGATAAGCTGTACCAATGGTTGTTGAACAATTCCACTCGAAATCACAAAGGTCAACATCATGATGGTGCTAGAGGAAAATTCAGGGGATTGCCAAAGTCAATGAAGTTCATCATCTGGAAACAATGAATGTCTGTACAAAAATTCCATGGCAATCCATCCAAAGCAATGAACAGACCCACCAACCAACCCAAACGACCGACATTTCCATCCACAGAGCCATGCATGGCTAAAAAATCTAAATGGTGATAAATTAACTGTAACCATTATTGGATACCAGAAACAAAGTATGAGGCAGGAGAAGTATTATCTGTATTACATGACACAATCCCATCATGTGAGATAAGGTCGTCGGTTCACAGTGGAGTGCCTTGTATTCATTATCAGTGGCTATCTTATTGCCGTACTATAGGATCAGACAAAATAGGATAAGGTCACTAACTCCATATCAACAAACACAGTACAAGTCAGTGTAGGAGTAGACATATTACATGATGCCAAAGGAGATTAAAAAATACATTCAGCATCACTGTACAGTCATGGTTGAAGTACCAAGCACAACTTGGTATGTCCCTGTAGGGTTATAACAGGAATATTCAATTTTTCTTTTTTTGGCTGCCCCCTTCCTCAAAGAGGAGAGGAGTCTGCTGTGTCTCATTAGCTTTCAAAACCACTTGCATATAGAGTGACTGTGCACGGCTACTTCAAATCAAGTAGGCACAAAAAAACCCTCCTGCACTTGCTCATCATCTTAAAGTTATTCAGAACCTACACATATAGGCATCACACTTAAAGTAATTTTCAGTGATTAGGGATTTCATAAGACAATCAGTGTCGATTAGGGTGGGGGGGGGGGTAGAGTTTGATGTGAGGTGACTGTCAGAGTGAGCTTTGATGGCGGAGATCAGAAGGTTATTCCTTGGTCAGAGTCAAAGTGAATGTAGGACGAGAGGTGTTAAATATTGAGGATCACACCCCTCCTGCCCTGTTAGATCTCTCACTCCAACTTCATCATTATGTAATGATCTTTCTAATGTATTTGGGGATGTGGGAAAGATTGTCCTCTGGCTACCAAGAAGAAGAGGTTGATTGTGTGATGTATGCATTTATGCAGATCAGTTCACAATATTACATGGTGCAAAATCCTGTTAGGAGAACCTATCTCTGGGTTCCTCATTAGTCTTAATTAGTCACCACACACTGATGCAGACTTCTGGTTAAACTCAATACACTCAAATGCAACTTATAATTATAAAGCCTAGAGTGAATAAATCAGTGTGCTTCTTCCTCAGTCTACTGCACATCAATGTTTTGTTTCTTGACCAGAAATTAGCTATAGGAAAATCACAAAAGACGCTATAATCTATATTTTTATGACACTATGAAATGGCAGTGTGATGGTGTAAAAGGGGTCGGTCATAGTAATTAAAGTACAAGTCATTATAATCCAAATTTACAGCCCCCTTTGGCTGTACGGGGCTTTAAAATGATAAAGAAAGTTAAGTAAATCGGTTAGTCCACTTTCAGGTTTCTCTACCAAACAATAGAAAACATTTACAGTAATCACCAAGTAAAGCAGCTGAGATCGAATTTATCTTTATAGACTTTAAAGAACAGACGGGTCAAAATGCTAAAGTCATTAACATATTTGTCCTAAATGCCCTAAATTGGTAGCCTAATGTAATGACAAATGTTCTTGAACAGAAATTCATATTTTACAGTTGAAAATGTGTCTTTACTGTAAATCCAAAAGGCCAGTCATGCAGACCCAAATTTTAATACAGCTATCAATTTTAGTTATCCATTTATTTCACAGCTAAATTGGTTCTTTATTAATTCTAGCCATCAAAGGTATTTAACATGAACTTAAATGAAGCAGACCTGAAATGAACTGATAAGTTTATTGTGCACTTGTTTGAAATAATTGCTACAGTGTTCTTGAGATTTTGGCTGCACATATGTAATTTTCATTTAGCCAAGTCAGTTTTTAACATGTGATGGACACACTGTGACAGCTACGGTCAACCCTCTGGAGACCAGAGGCACTGAAGCCATGGTCTCCCCTGGCCTGGCCTAAATTTATTTGGGCTTAGAACTAAGGTTGAGGCCTCAAGAGCCAAATAGAAACTGAGGTAAATGAGACTAGCATTTAAGTTACTATGCTTGTGTGGCCAGCAGCTAGTTTCATAGTTCCAGCTTCTACCCATCTGCCACTGACCCTTGTTTTGCCAAAAGAACAATTGCGGTTAGTGGCTTCCAGATTAGTCTGCTGTGACATAATGATTTTGTCCCACATAAGGGTGATTTGACATGCTCTGCTTGCCTGTCTGCTGCTTGCAGGCTCTGCTCTTCAAATCCAGTGCTCTGCTTCTGCCTTTACCTCATTACTGTCAAACGTGTGAAGAGATGGTTCCTCTGGTTAGTGCACATTAATGCACGTGTATGTGTTCGCGCCATCACTTCCACAAAAATCTTTTTCAGCACTGTGTCATATTGCCTGTTTTAATGCAAATGTTACCAGGAGCTGGCTATTTGTTTCATCTGCATGATTTCGACTTGCTGTCAATTATTCATGTTTTCTTCACACACATCTCGTGTGTTCTCACTTTCAGGCTTTTTCTCATGTTAAGTTTTTTCCTTTTCCCCCAGGTTCACTTCTGTGCTCGCTCTGAGCTGTGCTTTGATGTCACGGTGCCAGCCCAGCCCAGCTGTCTGGACCAGGTGAGTTGGGATTTATTCTGAGTTCCTTAACAGTTTTAAGTACTTTAAAATCAGTTGAACTAAGACACTTTTTATTTGAAATACACCAGACACATACACAATTTAAAGTCTAGTCATTTTAAGTCGAATAAAACAACCTAAAACCCATTAAACCTTTTCTCATTAAAATGAATATGTACATGAAACATTACTATGGACTGATTTTTCTGCAGTATCCTTGTGATTAAAGACCCCTAATAAGGTAAAGTACAATGCAATGAGGAGACTGGGCAGTGCATTGTACCAAAATGTAGCATACATAGTAAGTGAAGAGAAGGGGGCTCCTGCACTCAGCTTCTTGTTTATCGCAGAAACATAAGAACTCTCTCTGATGCACAATGTAGGTATTAAACATGGAACGAAATGGATTAGAAGTGCATGCATTGTGCAGCTCTCATTTTCACCTCTACATAAACCTAGTTCATATTTTTTATCCGTTATCAAAGGACAGATGGAGGTAGTGAGATAAGATGGAGGCAGACAGAGTGAGAGAGAATAAATCCCTGGAGGTAACAGTGTTATTACTACAGGTGAGATGGTGAGCTGTGGGTCCTTTCTTATTCTCCCTTCTTTTTCCATATACAGTACCCCTTCTCCTGCCACCCACACCTCCTCCCTCCTCTTGTACTTCTTCTCATGGCTCAATTTCATCTGTGCTGCATTACAAACAGATCTTCTTACCATTTCAAAGCTCATACCTGTAAAGTCAGCTCTCTCTTGTCTCACATGTGCAGTAGGCGTTGGGCCATGCAGTGCTCACAAGAACAGGGCCGTCAACATGCCGATCGCATCTATGGTAAAACCTGATCTGAGTGCACAGGCGGTGGGATTTGGGAAAGGATATAAAGAGTATATGAGGGATGATAAACAGCTAGTGTAAAGCACAGAGAGTCAAAATGAAAGAAGAGGTATAAAGAATTATACTCCATGCAATACAGCAGGTTAACAATGAGGCAGATTTGAGCAAGTGCACAGTCTGACACATGCATCCTCAGTTCATTTGTAGTCAATGAATGTGTAAATGTGGGAGGATTTCTGAGAAATATGTGAGGAAGTGGCTGCATGTTGTTATGTGTGTGTTATTGTATTGGTGTTTGTATTTATTAGGCATGCATTTGGCATTTGGAAGCCAGCTGGGGACCTTGAAGCATATTGTGTGTATCCCTCTTTGTGTGTGTGTGTGTGTGTGTGTGTGTGTGTGTGCACCGATATGTGAGTGGAGGTGGTGAAGTGCATTAAAAGCCTGTCTGGCACATTCAATGGAGAGACAGGGGGCCTGTTCCAAGATAAAAGAAGACTTAGATCAGCATGTAGAGTTTCTGCCAGAATTAGCTCCCTAAAAATAATTTGCACATTGATTGTGTATCTGATCAAACTGAATGTAAAAGTAACAGTGTTTATGACAGCCAAAGGACTAATACCCAGCTCTTATGGTACATATGGCTCCATGAATATGAGTCCTTTGTTGCAAAACTAACTGTAGCTGCATGTAAACCTGACGGCTTACCAACTTTAATCCTTATTCATATTTATACCCTGTTGTTTTATGTTTTTCCATTTATTTGTTATATACATGTTTTGGCAAGATAGCATTTCTTGTCCTGAGCTAATGTAGCAAATGAACTGAAATGCAGGAATGAACTGAATGGACATGTAGGATGAGAATGAGAAAGAAGGTGGAGGGAGGGAGGGAGTGATATCAAGAGTGTATGAAAAGGGGGGAAACTGAGGGATTAGCAGAGGAGAGAGTGAAAGAGAGAGGTGAGCTGTGAGGTAAGCCAAAGCTTTCAGAGAATAAAACTGGTCACAGGTCAATCGGGGAAACGTTGTTAGAAGCCGAGAGACTTCTCACCTCCTGCAGCTGGATCACCATAGTGGCCCATTGTCCGTTTGTGCCTCATTACACGTCTTTGGATCAGCATACTTTGAACAAGTTTCTGAGGAGCGGGAGGGCAGCAGCTGATTGAAAGGTTGTTGATAGATGTTGATGGGAGGAAGTGTGAGGAACAGGATTAGGGGGGTCTGACTGAGAGGAAGGTAGATGAAAAGAAAGGGGTTGGGTTCAGTGTAATCTTGTATAGCGGTACAAGCACAATTGAACGAGGCCTGGAGAAATTCTGGTCAGAAGATGTGATATTACAAGATCTTTTAAAGATGAAAGGAGCGCAGACGGGCTCTGCATTTAGAACAGAACTGTGTCACAAACCCCTCCTTTGTTTTCTGTCTCAAAGCTTGTTCAAGTAATCAAGCAGACCTAAACTATCCCATTACTATAGTGGTAAGAATTACAAAATCTTCATAAAAATGGGTTAAAGGATAAAGCTACAGTAGTTTTCCAGATGGTTGACTTAAACTATTGCACAGAACCACGCAGAACAAGGAGATGTACTGTAATTAAAAGACCACAGGTCAAAACTTAAACAGTGAAGAAATACATTGATCAGCCATTGATCAGGGGACGTGATTAACACTGATTATCTCGTTACAATGGCACCTGTCAGTGTGTAGGGTGTATTAGGCAGTCAGTAAACATTGTGCTTTAGTTTTAGTATAAAGTTAAATGAACACTGGGCCATTTTAGCAAACATTAAAACAAAAGTTCTGTAAATTTTACACTTGTTTGTAATTATTTTCAGCTGGCAGGACACTGTATGTGGGACTGCCAAAAACAAACTACACTGCTCATGTTCTCCATAATGAAGAAACAGTTTGTTTATTATACAATGTGTTTAGTATCGATAAACGGAGCTTTATGGCAAAGAGGAACGAGCTATATCCGACTTTGCTACATGGACGATACTTGGTAGTGGACCGCTTCATTGTTGGTTTTGGTCTCTTCGTGGGATTTGTTGACTTAATCACTATTGCAAATACAGGAGAGTTGTATTATACCACACGCTAATTAACAGCCTATGTTGTCCCTGTGGGTTAGTTTGAAGTTGTGGCCAGTGTTCCTGTTTATTTGAGCAGTTTATCTGTGTTTGGCATTTGTTAACATGGTAGCAGAGAATATTTCCTCTGATGTATCCATTAAGTGATCAGTCTTGTTTTGGGGCACAGATTATTTAGCTTGTTGAATGCCTGTTTTCTGCTTTAGGTAGCTTTGAAATGCTATCAGTTTGCTAATTCCTAGACATTTTTATAGTTGATCTAACTGGTATTCACATCAATATGACCCATCTTTGGATTTACATACATTTCTGCTTTTGGTTGATATCAACTTGTGCCTCAGCTGCGTGTGTCACACCAACAGCCAAAAAAACAAAAGAGAGTTTAATATAATGTCAGTTTTGATAGTGAAGCCTACCTATATACTACACATTGTATTAGATTTAAGTCGCTTCACTTTAACTGTTTAGCCTCGACTGGCGTGATCACTGCCTTCATCCTATATCAGAATCAGAATCAGCCTTATTGGCGTTGGACACGAGGAATTTGACTCTGGTACAGCGGCTTCAAATACAAGCAAGGACATCCGATACAAACCAAAACATTGTTTACATTGTTTGTACCAATAAAATTCATTGTGCTTTAATGTTTTCTTTGATTTGAAAGAGAATGGTATTGCAGCAGTAATGAATGCAAATTACATAGTGGGAATTGTCTTGGGGTTTTGGTCTCTGTCTGTCTGACTAATAGGATTAATTAATTTTTGTCCTCTGGAGCTTCACACACAGTACCAGACCACCTATTTGATCAGCCTCCAGTGGTGGAAAGGTGCAGCCAGTGAAGGCCAGACCAAGCTGAAGGCAGGAAGAGGCCTGACATAATCGCCCCTTTCTGAACAGTCCGTGGCATAGAGTATATCTGTTCACTGATGAAATTTTGTGTAAGAGGGCTCAAAAACTCCAATCCCTTACTGTTACTAATACTAATTAGATTTTCCACTGGGCTTTCATCTCACTTGGTTTGATGCTGTTTCTTTAGATTGACATTCTCAGATTGCAGGTTTGCCTCCAGCTAGAAAGGCTGATTATTAACTTGGGTCTGGATGTAATTAATGTGGTCCTTGCTATGACTGCTGAAGGGCTCTCGAGCACAGCACAAGTGACCTCCAGACTCAACAGGGCTGCGTGTATCAAGCTAAATCTCAGCTGCCTTGTTTGAAGGAATATTTAGGTTAAAACCATCCTTGATCTCTTTACTTTGTTGTTATAGAACTGAGGCTGATGGGAATGCCACTGGCTTTGCAGGTATTTGCATTGTATTTGAGACATTTTATTAAAAAACAAAAATCCCAGCTTAATTTTGCCACTACAGGAAAAGCCAAGGGATCACCAGGTTCAGTAGGCTTCATCCTCTGTGGACCACGAATGTCAGTGCAAAACGTCATGGCAGTCTATTCAGCAGCAGTTGAGATAATTTGGACTTTCTGACCGGCACTGCAATTCACAGAGTGATGCCGCTAGCATGGCTAAAAAGCCGTACCAACAGCATCTTGGTTTCATCTCAACCTTGTTTCCAACAAGTGAAATGAATCATTCAAAAGAGCATAAAAGGGCCATCAGATGTCCCCAAACAGCTGGCAGTATAAGCTGAGCACTGTCAAGAAAAGCACCGCCTGCTGCTGTGGAGTGTAACTGATTAGGTTATTATCAGCAAATAAAATATAGGAGAGAGGGAGGTTAACAGTGAACATTTGAAGCCAAGGTGCAGTCATTTGGCTGCCAAACACCCAGATTATATTCAGGCGTATTAATACTTAGAGCGGAGGTGAGCAGAGAGTGACTGGGGACTATTTCATGCTGAATGATTCCTTGAAGCTATTGATTCTTAAGGACAAGTCGGCTCTCATTTGTATCACCGCATTGCTTCCTGGAGGTCTTACAGTGTAAAATGTAAATGTTTATTATTTATTATTCTAGTCTAAAACTTAAAAATTCATGCTAAGACAAGCATTATAGTATATTCTTTAATAATAAATGCTTTCTGTGGGGAATTGCATTTAAAATGGTATCCTG